AATAGTAATAATAATAATGATAATAATAATAATAACAATAATAATAATAATGCATAGATAGCATTGGTATAGCGAAAAATCCCTCTCGACAGCAAGCTCAACGCGCTTTGCAACCTACACTCAAGAAATAAGAGTATGTGGAAAGGGATCATGATAGAATCCTGACTGTTAATATCCCCCCCCCCTTGACACTGACAGAAGCCCGCCTCCTAAATGATCTCATTTGTGTCGATATTGGCGTAAGAACATCACGTCCATTACAAATACAGCTTTGTAGATTATATTGGAGGGTGTTTGCAGGGAAACAAGATCCTTCACAAGGATCGTCAGTTTATCTGGAAGTAACAAAAAGTAAAGTAAAGTTGTTCCCGCATCCGATCCGGACATTGGGGATTGCCTTGTTAGTGAGACAACTTCCTGGGCCTTCGGCATATTGTGGTAGGGTGGCCAGTTCCTTTCCACACCACCTTTACTTTCCCAACTCGAGGTCAGGTACCCATTACTGCTGGGTGGGGAAGGGGGGGGGGCGAAAAGAATCCGCGTCCGAACCGAGGCTCGAACCCGGACTTTCCGCAATACAAAGCGAATATTCCCATCTTAAAAACTATCGTGATAAGACCACTGACAGTAACATCTAATAAAGGTCGAACAATAGAACTGAACGCAGGCGATGGTTCTGAATGTTCACCCTAACAACACATATTATATGACACAAGACCATGTTTGAGACTGATTAAACCCGTCGGCTGATAACAGAATGCATCGTTCCATTTAGATAATGTTATTTATACAATAGTGTCACGACGCAGTGGAATCAAGCGCTAGTCAATTTGTGGGCGTGTGGAGTAACTGATATCGCCTTCCTCTTGGTGAAAAATATCCATTTATGTTGGATAGAAGTGGAAATTTGCGATTGAAGGAGGTCAGGGTTGTCTGGTTTTTAGAGGACAAATTAGCCAGAAAATGGCCGCCAAAGTTTGGTAACTTCCAGAGCCCGAGAGTCCTTTGAAACTGAATATTTACATTTCATGTGCCTTTAATCAATGTTTTTCAGTACAACCCACACAAACATGTGTTTTTAAATGGACATAAAAGATGCTGAGCCAAAAAAAAAAAATTCAGAAGAAAAAAAACTACAGCCCATCGGCCAAAAAAATGCTGATATCTTGGATTTCATTATTTTGACGAGCGCCTGATTTCACCACGATGCCCCACCAATGTTGATCAAAAACATGGACAGTTTAGTTGACAGCCCGAGGTATGAAGTACATGATCAGATAGCTAGTGGGAATTCGAATTTAAAAAATAATAAATAGTTGAGTAAACTGCTCTTTGTGCGTGTATCTCTCCGCCTTTCAGTTTTATAACTGTTACAAAACTTTACTGTACATTTTATTGAAAGTCTTCTTTCACTAAAAAAAAAAAAGTAATCGAAAACATATACATGCCAATTACTTTTTAAAACCACAATACAGAGACTCTACCCACATGGTAGGTCAAGATAGTGGATTTTGACCCTCTGATCTCCCTCAAAAACGTTCTAACACTTTTGTTCATTTAACAAACCAAGCTATTCAAAGTGGTTAGGCTACCGGACTGGTAATCGTGATGTTGTGGGTTCGGAGGTTCAAGCCACGGGCCCGACGTTGTGTCCTTGGGAAAGGCACTTTACACGAATTTTCCTCACTTCACCCAGGTGGGAATGGGTACCTGGCCATAGACAGCGAAAGATCTTGTCAGTATTAGTGTTTTAACGCCTATAAATGGCTGCATGCACTGTATGCTTCCCAGGAGGTTGAGCTTGTTTCAGAATGCTCTCAGGTCTGCTGGGGTAATAGTATAGATTGTGAAGCGCATAGAGCTTGCTGTTGAGCGGGGATTTGCTCTATACAAATGATATCAATTATTATTATTATTATTATTATTATTATTATTATTATTATTATTATTATTATTATTATTATTATCATTATTATTATTATTATTATTATTATTATTTTTATTATTATTATTTAATATATATATATATATATATTATTATTATTATTATTTTTATCATCACCATTAGACCTACTCCAATAATGTCACAACAGTCAGTAAAGATTCCTCCAACTGACCAGTGGTCTTCATTCTCGTTATTAATTATTGCAAATTCGATCTTGAAAGCTAATAATTATTATTTCTTCCGCAACGGCAATACTAGAAACATGAGAAAGTGTTTTCTCACACAAAAATGGACTTCCTTACTCAGATGCACACAAACGTATTAAATAATAATATGATCTTTTTGTACGTTCTGTTTTGCAGCTATGAAAATAAAACAAAACAGAAAGAAAGAAACAAACCCCCCAAAAAATGGTAGAGGCGAAGAACAGGTTTGTACTTCTGAATTTCTCTCTCCCAAACATAATTTCCTTCCTTCAAAACATGAGACAGACCTTTCACCCTTCTCCGAAGTCATCCCTAACGGGTTTCTTATTTTATTTAGAAATCCTAAGAAATAATCAGGTCTAAGGATTATTTTATAGTCGCTGAAGTAAAATTTCTTTTGTTCAGAGCATAACATGCACATTGGGATTAACTTAACCTTATCCGTACGTCGTGTTCTACTATGGTATCCATACGACGTGGGGAACTCTGTGCCACGCCACCACTTTCCAAAGACGAAATTTACTCGTTAATCTGATCCGTACGCTTTGCATTGCAGTTTGTCAAAATGATTTTTTGAGAAATACTGAAATTTTCAAAGAGGTCTTCGTACTAGAAGTAGTTTAAAAAGTGAAGAATACAACCCCGGGGGTACAAAATGACCCCAGGGCGTACGTATAGGGTTAAAAAGACAAATTGTCCCTCCAAGAAATCAATGGCTACAAACCCTCCATCCCAACCCAAGAGGAAAAAAACCCCACACAAACAAAAGCAAAACGAACCCCCCAAAAACAAACAAAACAAATAACAAAAATTCACCTAATAATATTGTTTATAAAAATAAACGTATCTGCCCGTGTTCTATTGTGTGTGTGCATGTGTGTATCTGTGTGTGTGTGTGTGTGTGTGTGTGTGTGTGTGTGTGTGTGTGTGCATGTGTGTGTCTGTGTGCGACTGTGTGTGTGTGTGTGTGTGTGTGTGTGTGTGTGTGTGTGTGTGTGTGTGTGTGTGTGTGTGTGTGTGTTGGAGGTGGGGAGAGGGGGGGGATCAAAGGGCTTACACTTGATGACTATTTGAACGACCCGCGGCCGCTTGGAGCGTGGAGTAACTTCTAGCCTCCGATATAATTTATTATATTGCGTTTTTAGACATACCTCAAGTGGCGGAGCGTTTAGTGCGCTCGTCTCCGAAGCGGAAAGTCAGGATTCGAGCCTCGGTTCGGACACGGATTTTTCTTTTTCGCCTCCTCCTGCCCACCCAGCAGTAATGGGTACCTGACTTCAAGTTGGGGAAGTAAAGGCGGCGTGGAAAGGAACTGGCCACCCTACCACAATATGCCGAAGGCCCAGGAAGTTGTCTCACTAACAAGGCAATCCCCAATGTCCGGATCGGATGCGGGAACAACTTTACTTTACTTTATAGGTATACAAAAAAATTTTAAACCCCAAAAAACTATATTAAAAAATCATAAAAAGATCGCAGGATTCCTGCAGTACTCACATATCTCTGTCTCCAAAAGCGGAAGTAACATTGCATTTAACGTCAGCCGTTTCAGCCAATGACAGCATCGATGACAGCGTCGTCAGAAGTACAAGAGCCGTTGTCATGGTTACCTTCCCTAACATGTTGTTTATCGTAGTCGTCGATGGGTATTAATCAAAATGCCAGCCTCTCGCTGGGCTTCTTTTTGCTGTTGTTGTCAGCACGTGGTCTGGAATAGACGTGAATGTGTCAATAGTCAACAACAACAATCAAAAAAAGAACTGTATCTGTTCCGCGCAATTTACCGTTCACTGCGCGTTTTAATGATCGTTTGTTTGTTTCATTTATGTGAGCTCTTCAGATTCATCTTAATTTTAATTTCAATTTTCATATTTTTAAACCTTTAAAAATACATGTGAATGTTCCTTTATGTGGGTAAACGAATAAATATGGAAGTGAATTTGTTTAAAAAAATATTCTAAAAATATTAAATGAATTAAACGTACTTTGTGAACTTTGATTTTGATACGTGGCATTTTATCATTCTTGTGAGCTCTTCAGTTTCACAGATTGATTTTAATTTTAATTTCAACTTTCGTATTTTTACACTTTTAAAAATATCTGTGAAAATTCCTTGATGTGAGTAAAAGAATAAAGATGGAAGTGAACTTTAAAAATAATAATTTTGAAAATATGAAGTAAATTAAACGTACTTTGTGAACTTTGAGTTTGATACCTGGCATTGTATCATTCTTGTGAGCTCTTCAGTTCCATACGTTGATTTTAGTTTTTAGTTTTAATTTTCATATTTTTACATTTTTGAAAATGTATGTGAATATTCCTTAATGTGAGTAAAAGAATAAAGATGAAAGTGAATTTTTAAAAAAATTATTTCAAAAATATAAATTATTAACGCAATCTGCAGATTGCCGAGCAAGTATACGATCGTTATAACGCGCTGATTGGTAAGTTGCGTGGAACATATCCATTTGTGAAAATGAGCTCAATCCTGTAAAATAGAAACATCTCAATGGCTACCAAAATTAAAGTTCTGAAATGCTATGTATGGTCAACTCTTCTATGTGGCTGTGAATGCTGGACAATCACTACAGACAGTAAAAAAATGTGGTTTCTTAAAAGACTGCTGAGAATATCGTGGAAGGAAAAGAAATCAAATTTTAATGAGGTAGTGCTTGATGAAGCCTACGTGGGAGGCTTACTGTTAATCAGGAAACGACAAATGCAGTTTTGGGACACCTGAATAGACATAAGGGTTTTGAACATCTAGCTCTCACTGGAAAAATTGAAGGCAAACGAGGCACGGGTAGGCCCAGAGCAACCTACTTAGGGAACCTAAACAAATGGGTAACGGGGAAAGATCAGGGAAACGTAGCTTTTTTTTTAGAGCATCCGAGCAAAGGAATGAATGGAGAACCATGATCGCCGATGTCTGTCACAGATCTGGCACTGGATGAATGAATGGAGAATCATGACCGCCGATGTCTGTCACAGATCTGGCACTGGATGATGATGCCAGATATATTATTATACATCGCTATGTCTTACATTTATATTTTACATCATTTTGTCTGACATAATATTATACATCGTCATGACCGCCGATGTCTGTCGCAGATCTGGCTCTAGATGATCCGCTTGTGAGGAGGGCTGACTAATTAAGCTACGTCTCTCAATCCACGAATGGAGATATCGGCCGTAAATAGACACATCAAAGCTGTAGATGTTAAACTGATGCTATTTTCGTCAAGTTTAGTTAGTTTATCTCTTATCATTTCATATAACAAATATTTCAACCGCAACCTACCGATTTTATGTGTCTATCTGTTTCATTTGGAGAATATTGTAACAACAGGCAAGTTTGATGGAAAAAGAGGCAGATGCAGACAGAGGGAAAAGATACTGGACAAGTTGACAACATGGCTGGGAACAGCAAGAACGACAGACACCATCGCTGCAAAGCAAGACAGAGTGAAGTGGAGGTCCATGATGGCCCACGCCAGTCGGCAAGGCACCGGATGAGGATGATGATCTGTATCATAGTTTTAGTTCTAATGAGAGTTTTACGGCGTTCGCAATTACACACGGACATATGAGAACGCGAAACACAAGTTGGCTGCATTCGCAACAGTTCACAGCACGGCTTGTGTCTGTGTTTTATTGAGCAAAAAAGAGGCAGCATACGCCACATTTACTACAAAACTGTCCACCTTTGTTATTTGTGAACATTTTCCATTTACGGGTTCGTTGTCTCATAATATATGAAACATAAATAGGCATGCCTGCCGTGAATTGTGTATAATAATATTTCTTTGGGAGTTTTTAGTTGAGTTTTTTTTTGTTGGTTTTTTTTTGTTGTAGTGTTGTACGGCGCTCACAACTGCATAAGATCATAGGAGCGCCGGGGACACATTCAACATTTTCAGTATGTAGGAAATTTTGAATTTTGCCCGGGTGGCAGCCTAAGCCTACTCTTATCGATTTTGGACCACCAAAGAATTTTTAACGAGCGCAACTTGCACACCGGACATCCTAGATTTTTCGTCCTTGTCCGAGACGGCTAGGTGTAGATCTTTTCTACCAGAAGATCAGGGAGGAATTGTGTGTCTAATAATTAGATTGAAACTGAAAATAAATGGAAACACTTTCTAATGTTAACCTTGAACAGATGGACAGACGAAAGAACACTGCCATGATTTTATACAAATAGTACTAGACAAAGGAGGTCAGAGGTGTTTAACAAATTTTAAAAAGAATAATAATAATAATAATGATAATAATAATAATAATATAATATTTTAAAAAAATAATCATAATAACAAATAGCATTTATACAGCGCATTTCTATTTTCTACCAAAAAAAAGCTCAATACGCATCACATCGAAAAAGACAACACACCTTTAAAATTAATCGACATGCGTGTTTGTAAAACAAAGTAATATGCATCTATAAAATATCTATGTATAATGTGTGTAAATATATATATGTATAATGTGTGTAAAAATATATATGAGAAAAGCAAGCAAGCAAACTCAATATAAAAAGAAAAAAATATCATAAAGCGAACTGAAGTAGACATCAGCGATCGTGGTTTGTCACTCATTTCTCTGTCTAGATTCTCTCCTAGTACTCACACTCTCATGATTAATTTTCCTTGTCTCCCATCTGTCAGGGTTTTCTAAGCAATTATTCATTTACAATGTACCCTGAATCTAGCTAAGTGAAAATGATTGATAAAATTGGAACAAAAATCAAAAATCAAAACAAAACCGAAACAAAATTAAAAAATTTTAATAAACAAAAACTTTTAAAAAACAACAAAAGAGATCAGAATTGCATCAATACGAAATTAGAATGAAAAGAAAAGATAATACTTAAAAATAAACTGCGCTTTTAAAAAAAAGTAACAGGTAAATATCAAGATGGAAACCTATACCATAGACCAAAAACAAAAAACCACCAAAAACTTACAGAAAAATTCTTTTCCTCACAAGTTTGAGAAGTTAACAGCGCCAGTATTTATAGACCAGAATATCCCCACCTACATCACCACTCACCGATATACTGACATATTTATAACTGGCTTTCACTCGAAAATCATCATCAAGAAGAATCAAATCAAGCCGAGGTTTGGTCTAGATTTCCATTTGGACGCCATGAAAAACAACCATGAACTTTGACCCTATTTCCTTTCTGTGGTTCGTACGTTCTGATTACTGTCTGTAGATCGAGCTGGTGGTACGGATTTTTTGAGTGCAGCGGGCAACTGCTGACTCTTATCAACACAGGCTTTATCACTTTCACTGTTATACTATCTCAATTGTTTTTGTTCTTTTTTTTTAACGATTTTGGGTGCCCAAAGAAGAGCATAATTCTAAAGGTCATTCTTTCGTAATACAAGGCAAATGAGAAATACCCTCATCCCCCCCCCCCCCAATTTTTTTTTAAATTTAAAAAAATTAAAATTCGACAAAATACAAAACACCTGGTAAATAATGTACAAAAACATCTATCCAGCATCTCCGTATGAAAATAGATACACATGGACATTTTAAAACTTCTCAAAATACATGTCGAATATTAAATATGTTATGAAGTAACTTTGTTGTTTTGTCTTTTTTGAAAAATGCAAAAATCGCGACGTGATTCGCGGACCCCCAAAATGCCAAGAATCATACGGAGAATATAAGTACATTACATTACATACTATTTATATTGCTGTCTTTTATTTCTCCTTCTTTCTTGTGTTTTAATTTGTTGGTGTGTTAATTTTTCTTTTAAAAAATGTTGAGATGATTTTTTTTCTTTCCTTGTGTTTATACAGCGTAATGTCATTTAATTTGATTCTGTGCCTACCCTTTTAAAAATATGAATGTGTGTTATATTAGAGCGTGTCTCCACTCAAACCGAATACTGACGCTGGCCCACCGCTTGTGTGATTCCATTATTTACATGTAATATCCTGTAGTCCTTTAAAAAAAAAAATTAGACACGTTTATGGTTTCAACAGCCAATCTTCGGATAGGTGGACTCGCGTCCTAATTAAAATTGTAAATGTTTGTGTTATTTATCCGAGCTGTTCTAATTTTGATTTCATTACGTTGTGAAACCTACAAGAAATTCTGGTGCTTTAGATTACTACCTCTATCAACAAATTGCTATATATACGTCGTCACAGACAGTTGAAAGCTTGAACATTTATGGACACTTTTTAGGCAACCTTTGCCACTTTTTGTGGCAACTTTTAGCAACTTTTGTTTTTAAAAATGGCAACAAACGCAGATGCTAGATCTCTCGTCCTTATCTCTCCTCATCCTTCTTTTTCGTTTTTGTTACTCTCTTGTAACACCTCTAATCTTCTGCACTCATATGACCTTATTGTGTTGCAAGTGCCGTAAAGCTCTTACTTAAAAAAAAAAAGTTATTACCATTTCATTATGATATAATTTTTTATAAAAAGAAACCAAATAGAAAAGGAAAAAAGCAGAGACAGCGCAGAGCAAACATAACAGCCCCGGTTACATTGACATATGATAGGCCTACAGGTAGCCGAGCCTATTTCTATGAAAGGAGTTTTTTTCTTTTGCCAACAAATTGAGGAACATGGTCCCTTTTTCGTTCAAAACATTATTTGTGAAGCATCGTGGTGAAATCAGGCGCTCGTCAATGTAATGAAATAGAAGAAACCGGCATTTTTCTGTTC